TCAGAAATTTTGCAACGATGGTGAGAATTTAAAAAAATTCAAATATTCGAGCTGTCGATCAGACAATTGTTCTCAAAATTACATGATTATATCGTATGGCAAGATACTAATGTGAGGTGTTCCAACTTCCATATCACCAGAAGAAACGCTTCTTTGTACACATAATTAACCTTTCAATGTCGAATCTATTTATTTTATGAATGGGAAAACATGTACCGCTTGTTCAACACGGTTCAACTTACGTCGCTAGAACTGTGTGTCTTACACGATGTGAATGCCTTAGAAGCTACAACGTCCGTCAGGATCAACGTACGTATTCTTGCGGCTAACGTCCGTTGGCTGCTATGCGATGGACGTCCCTACAGGGCGCTGGTTTACCACGACCCGTATGCGTCCCTGCTGCGCTGCGATGGACGCACTTTTACGCCCGTCGTTTGACTCTCGTGGTTCGCTAGTGTGTCTAAGGGACGACCCTCTCTCACAAAAATACGCGAATGTACGAACGTAAGATCGGGAGTTTTTTAAAATTTATTTGATTGTCTGCTTTTTCTAACGAAATCATTTGTCACTACGAGAGGGAAATAATAACCAATATAATTACGTCGTTTAAAAATTGCAGGCTCTGTCATGAAGACAGTTTTGAAAGGGATATAGTTACGGATCATGGAGTCACAAATTGCAAGGGGGTGAAGGGGATGGTTTAGTCTGCTACTTGGCACTGACAATAGGATAAAAAACATTTCAAGAATATTATTTTGATACGACAACGCTTTTCTGTACGTTTCTTATCAATTATGAATTGTCAAGCACGGGCAAATGCAGTTATTTCGGAAGAATCAACATCTTCCCGCCTCTAAAGATATTTAAAAAATCCAATGCGGCTAAAAATTGCAAAAGCTCAAAAGAACGGAAAAAACTGGCACTGCTCTAATTTTTCGGATATCGCTATATTTTCGATAACTGCGAAAAGGTAACATTGCAAAACAAAGCTAAGAGAAGATAATGGTTGAAGGTCAAATAACGAAGTGATTTGTCACTACGAACGGGAAACAAAAAACAATCTAATTACGTCGTTTTAAAATTGTAGGCTCTGTAATGAAGACAGTTTGAAAGGGGTATAATTACGGATGATGTAGACTTTTGAATAAATAAAGGACTCATTGCTGTCGAAGCCGAACTCATTTACAATTCGCGTATGTTTCTTTGAGAACCAATTTTACTCCCAGTTTATTATTAAGAACACGAGTCACAAACTGCAAGAGGGTGAAGGGGATGGATCAGTCTGCTTCTTGGCACTGAGAATACGAAATAAAAAACATTTCAAGAACATTATTTTGATAAGACAACACTTTTCTGTAAGTTTCTTATCAATTATGAATTGTCAAACACGAGCAAATGCAGTTATTTGTGAAGAATCGTAATCTTCCCGAGTCTCCAAAAGTGATCAAAAATTCCAATGCGACTAAAAATCGCAAAAGCTCAAAAGAACGGTATGAGATGGTTACGTTAAACGCCTCAAATGTTCCTGGTTGTAAATTTCAAAATTTGGCCAAATTAACAGCATGATGGAATTTAACTCTATTGCTTCAGGTTGAAATAGCTATATCACAAAAAAGTGATTCAGGAATATTTTGTTTGTTTTACAAAAGCATTGTAATGTGAAGGTAATATGCCCACATGCAGGTTTTAAGGCCATTGGCAGATTAACGGGTTTCTTGTAGCATGACCATGGAATTAGGGCTAGCTGTACTAAACTACTATATATATATATATATATATATATATATATATATATATATATATATATATATATATATCTTATATGTAATACTATCTTATGGCCTAATTTACAAAAATACGGCCTGACATGATTTCAGTAATGCAAGAATTGCTGGGTTATTCATAACAAATTCAGTATTTTCTTTTCTACAATGAGAATTTATTTTGCGTTGCTATGTTGTATGCAAAGTTGAAAACATCGGCAATTTCTTGAAAACTTACAAAACTTTAAAAGAATAGTTTAATCAGTTTCACATCGAGGACAAATGAAAGTTTCTTTGCCTTTAATAGATCGGCTACACTCTTGGTTACATTGACAGCAAAAACAACATGTATATAAAATATGTCCCACGTTGGTAAAATATTGAGTGAATTTAACGGCATTAATCTGATTAGATTGCTCATTAAATGCGCTAAACGTTCTGTTTAGCTGTCAAAATACTAAACTGTCTGTCAAAATACTAAATCCTCTTTCCAGCGTATACAAGATAAAATTACCTGGAAAGAAGCTATAAGAACAGAGCGCACTCAGCACATTCCATTCTTGACAGCAGAGGCTCCAGTGTGCGAATGCGCGTGTCAGTAAGCCTGTCAGTGCGCCAGGAGGCTAGCGCACTTCTTAAGCTCTTCCAGGCAGCATGCTAGTACCATCTGTGGTAAACATTTTCAGCTAAAAACATAACCGTTACGTGGCCGTATTACCTGCACTGGCCACATTTGTATCATTTACCTTACAAATTATATATAGATATTTTTGTCTTAAAATCTGTTCTGAAAAAAGATCCTGGACAACTTTTTGAAAAAATGAGTAATTTTCGCGCAATTTCGGTTTGATGTTAATGCGAATTATGAAATAAATTTATTAAAACCGCCCCAAATATTTTCTTTTTTTCGCGAAGAGATCAAGAGCCACTTAAAAGAATGATGCAGGACTAATTTTTGTTAAACTTCGATTTTTTTTAATTGCACAAGATATATATAATGCGAGAAAATATGTACTGCTGGAACATCATTAGTTATAGATTTTATCATCAGTTTCAACAATAGTTATATACCGATCAAATCCAGAAGAGTGAAGATGGAAAAATCGAAAAATGGTCTTGCGACTGTGACAACAATTTGTTACCATATGCTCCCCAAGCTTTATTGAAGTTTGTTTCCTGCAGATGCACCAAAAACTGCATAAAAAGTGACTCTAAGAAGGCAGGGATTAAATGCTCTAACGTGCTTCTTAACTGAGAATAAGAGTTGTGATAATATCAGAATTGTTTCCACCAATAATCTGGAATGCGTGTTACCTCCTGGAATCAAACAATATGTAGCCTGACGAGCCAATTGAAGAGGACCTTGATATTCTACAAGATAATAGATAATGTCAATAATGAGAAACAATATACTGTATATTGTTCCCTTTTCCGATATTTAGCTATCACAAACCTGAAACCCCGAGTATTTCCTCGAACAAAGTGCTAATCACTCAATTTTCACTATGACTTAAGTTCTTATCTCTCAGTTTCGGTCACAATAAACAGAAAAAGGTGGGCATGTAATATTGAAACACATATTTTAACAACTTTAAGAAGTTATTTTTATCCCGCACTCTTTGCGTAGGTACTCGTTTCTGACTTTTTTAGCTTCTCGACGTACTACGTACTTAGGTAGTAGAGAAAAAGTTTTTGGAATGCAGCAGAAAGGTTTGTTTGAAATATTCTTAACGTTTTCCTATCACGAGGAAAATTATGTCTTGATCTGTTTGTTGTTTGTTTTTCTTTTATTTTGAATCGCATGTTCTCTGTAAGTTTAATGTTTCATTTGGTACAGTTACAAAAGATAGTTTCAATAGCCTCCGTCAGAAGCCAAATTGCTTCGTGAAGTCACGGAAGTACAACACGTCGACACACTGCGGATACCTGCACGAGTGACATCTAGGAACTCTTGTTCTAGACATCTAGAAACTCGAGCATCTGGCCGAAGGGATAAAAGGAACTGATTGGCTGTAACGTGACAAAAACTTCAAGGAGGATAACTCCAGGTACGCTCAATGCCTAAGGGCTAAAAGATGTGTGGCGAAGACGCAACAACAACAACAACAACAACAATTAAAGAAACGTTACGTCTAAAATGCAAAATTTTTTTACAGAAATGACCTTGGTCAGAGAAGATAAGGAGGTAGGAAGGGGTCTCAGCTGATAAGAAAGTATATAAAGGCCAACTTAATAACATCGAATACTTTCTCCGTGAAAGGAAAAAAAGCTTGAGTGAAAGTAACTTCTCGTGACGAAAATGAAACACAGATACACCTTAAATAGAAAAAAAACTGGTGACGTAATTTATAGTCCTCTCTAAAAATGTTACGACCCTTTCGGCCACCGCGTCGATAAGTCGCTTGAGGCATTCCGTGATCCAGGGACATTCCGCGAAGGGCGGGCGATTTCTGGACGCCTGAAGTCTTGGCTCTCCTCGCGTTAAGGAAGGCCCATAAAGACAGCTGCCAGGCACTTCAGCATAAACTGATCATGAAAATTCGATGAGGACTCGAATCACATGTTGGACGTTAACACATGCTTTGCCAAACTCTCAAGTAATGAGGCGAGCACCTCTCCAGACTACTTGGGTGATAGTTTGAATTTTGGTTTTCTCTTTCGTGAATGTTCAACTTTGATAACCAACTCGTGGAGATTTGACAATAGGAGATGATGAAAATAACACATAAATTTATGTACATTTTACTGTCTTCTTTAATACAGTTTAACTTTCTTCTCCAACCGTGATGTGGAAATGACCTACGCTATAAGCAAACTGCCATTTTTTCTTTTCTTCAAGATGTTGTTTCATTGAATAAAAATGAAGGACGCGTTGGAATCATTTTAAAACTTTGAAAACTTTTATCGTGATTGACTATAGCATTTTACTTTCGAAATTTCCTTAATATGGAATTTGTGGAATTGCTCTAGATTGGTTATGTTTCTACCTCGAAACAACGATCTCAGAGAGTAGATATACCGTAAGGTTTTGCCTATTTTGAGTACATGTATTTTCAGGCATATTAAACAGTAACTTTTAAAGCTTTTTTATGTATTTTTTTCTTATAGTCTTGGTTGAAAATAAAATTCTAAATTATTTTTCCTTTCACTTACCCCTGTCAATCACGATCGATCCTATTGTCTAGCTCTAGACTGAATATGTTATTTGGGTTTGAATGTGATATTCTCTATTTTTAGAGACCAAGACCTCGCTTTGTTCGCAATTCTGCACACACTCAAAAGAAGTGGAAGGTCGTAGGTGAGCGGGTGTATCATGGGTGAGCGCTGCTGGACTCAGATTCGCGATGCAGCCATAACACTCGGGTCTCGGGAGGCAGTTCGATAACCCCTGCTCCCGTCAATGATACCGACCCAGATTTCCTTCTAGGAAGGTGATATAGGGAAGGCTCTGTTAATTCAAGGAATTCAACATTAGGTTTCTTTCGTATACGGTCATGAAAGAAAATTAGATCAATTATTTTAATTTCTTAGGTTTCTTAAGAACAAAAATAAGAATTTGTCTATTGGCCAACAATGTCATAAATTCATTTATATTTCCTCCTTTTGTTTTGTTTTAAATATAAATATTCTGCTATATTTAGATGCAAGTGAGATGAAATATATTAGTACTTTTCCCCACTAATTGTGTATTTGTTTTGCTTTCTTTTCCTCCTCCACCGCTATTTTTAAATTTTAGTGCTTTTTCAGAGGTCTAAAATGCATGTTGTATTTCATGATTCAATATTTTCATACTCCATTGCATGATTTTTTTCTAAAATTATAATAGAAAGATAGGAAACAAGATGGCCAATTCCTCACCAGACGCATCTAATAACACCTCGCTTCCCCAATGTGGACTGGAAGGGCACGGTAAACCACGATTGCCACAAAACGGTTACTTGACGATTATACGTAGTACATTTCACTATACTCTACCTAAATATTTCTAATTCTAGCTATTGAATTCCAAAGTCGTAGATATGCTTCAGAAATACCGACTTTTAAAGTTTGTTCTACTTGTAATCAGTTTTAACGCGTCTCAGTGTTAATGAATTTATTCGTATACTGTCTATTGGTTGCAACAAGTGAGTCATGGCCAAAAGATCGTTGTGCCAAAGCGAACAAGAAAATGTTGGATGCTATTTCCCATAAAGAAGCAGCCATACGTAAAGTTTTATCCTTGACACATTCAGACAGATTTCCGGGTTGAGGAATTCAAAATTCGTTACTTAGTTGCCCCCGATAAAAAGGCACAGTGTGCGATTAATAATAATATCCTAAAATCTTTCCAATTTCCGTTAAAAAAAATTGTGTTACAATAGCTCATGATGGTGTTACCTTACATCTCTTTGCTTTATAACCTAGGTCACTGAGTTGGCAATGAAAGATACGTAGGCAAATGCCAACAACATGACAAATTTTAATATTTCTTCGCTCGTAATGGATAAGTGATATTTTTGACACGCCTTTCATCTAAATAAAATCTGCGTTTATAAGCAAAAGTTATTTATAAGTTAGCAAATATATCAAGCTTTCGCACACATTCAAAGAATGGGAAATACTTTCCAAATATTTGTAAATATTAATAAATCTTAATAAAACATTGTACGCTCCTGACCATATTCTTGACTTGAGACGGTTTAAATCCCCTTCTGAAACCATGCTTAGCTGCTGTGTGCCTGTGGTGAAGTCGAAGGGGGAGGACGATGTAAAGGGAACGGTTCTCACCGACGTTGACGGGGCATACGCAACTAAGGTCTAACGGTTTTGACGCTTCTTATAGAAAAACAATTGCTTGTAACCAACGGTTTGCGCTTTGGGGCGCGTAAAAGAAAAAAGTAATTTAGGAACATTACAATTAGGCTGAAAAATGGCTAACGCACGCTACTAAATAGCTCCGACAATGGCCTTCCGTGAATTGCATGTGACCATGAGAGCATGTGTCGCTCAGTTAATTTAACTCGCGCATATAGGGGTTAAGCTTTCGCACTTACATACATACCTACACACACACAAACACACACACAGATTATATATATATATATATATATATATATATATATATATATATAAACGCGTGTGTACATACATACGTATACACATACATCCACAATAAGTATTTGTTCTTAGTATAATAAATTCCACGTCGTATTGCTTCTCTTAGACACTTTTGCATGTTGAAAACTATTTTCTTGGTGTCCTCAGGGTCTATTTTCTTCGATTCTTGCAACAAACTAGTTTTGAGTTCTCCTATTGAGGTAATGAATGTTTCTCGAATTGTATTATTGAGTTCGTTTCACAAATGCTCTATGGGATTATAGTCTGGTGACGATGTCTCCTTCACCATTGGGCAGTTGTACAATAGCCACTCCCTCTCAATATGGGCTTCCGATGAGTTTGAGATCGTTATCTTGTTAAAATTTAAAAGTGTTGCGAATGCCTAGTTTATCAACAATTCTATGCAAGTTCTTAAGAAGTTGAGATTTGAAGATACAGTTCTTTGTTCATTATATATTCAGAGAAGGTCATGTGCCCCACTTCTGATAGGGAAACGCACCCCCAGACCATTACACTGCTCCTACCAGCTAACATATTTTTGTGTTGAAGCTTTGAATTTTGCTTTTGCCACACCCTAACCCTGCCATCAGTTTTGTACAAGTTAGATGTACTTTCATCAGTAAATATAACGTCCTTCCGCCATTCACTTTTCTTATTTATGCTCCTTTGCGAAAAGTTTTTCTTCCTATTAATTTTACTCACGAAGGGATTTTTACGGAATACTCTGGAATTGTATCCTTTTCGTCGAATAACATTTCGAAAGTTCTCTAAGCGAACTATTTTCCGAATGTTGTTGCACCTTGTACTGCAAGTTTTGCTTCACTTACCTTGGGATTTTTATTTACCTCCCTGTCGATGAGGCGTCTTTTTCGTTCATTCAACAAATGTGGACGGCATTTTGAGGTATATACATAATTCTACCCTTATTGGTATACCTTCTAATGATGTCACCAATTGTAGAACGAGAAACATTCAATCGAGAACTTATTTATCTTTCTGATTTCCTTTTCGCAAGTTGAAATATTACTACCGGTCGTTGTTCAAACGCGATGTTCTTGTCTGCCTTTTCGCCTCATTTCACCAAAGCGGTGCTCAACGCTCTGGAGAGCTTCAAGTGAGGTTAGAATTTTGACGATTTCCCTCTAGATTTGCAGTTTCCTACGCGCGGTTTCGAAAAGCTCTAGAGGCCGAATATTAAATTCGAGCATTTTCGCGGTAGTTCAAACGAATTGCACAATTACAGTAATTTTGATTTCATGAGTCTGATATTCAGGGACATTCCAGATAATACCATCAGACATACTGATGCTATTTTTTCAATCTCTACGGTTTATGAATAAGGTATAATACATTAAAAAATAGAAAAACAACCGGCGGTCGAATATTAAATTGTAAGACTTCATACATAACTACACGTACATTCATACACATAGAAACGCAAACTAATACTCCAGGTATGGGAAGTAGACCATTTTCAAATTTTTAGTTTATACGTAAACATTATTCTGTGAATCTGGACGATCACGCAGGATTGAAGATGAGTAATTGCTATCATATGAACTGCTCTGAATTTTCTTCACACTTTTTATGACATGTTCTTTGTTCACTATTTTTACTGCTCATTAAGCCTTTATTCGTATTTGTGCCTTGGAAAAACGCCAAACCGTAGTCTTCACTATAGTGTTGGAGGGCAAGCGACCAGATGTGCCGAGTAAAACAAAATTGTCCGAGCTTCGAACAGTTGAATACACGAGATCGTTCTCCTAATGCCCACCTCGAATCCATGATAACAGCTGTTGCAGTAACATACCTTTTCTTACGTCTTTTGTCGTAAGCGAGAGTAAAACGGTAGAATTATTTGAGACACCTCAGAATTGACAAAGATATCAATCTGGAGAGAAGATCATTCTGAATGTACATCAGAAATAATTCTAATCATTCCCATTGTTCGCAGTAAAGTTAAATCTGAGAAAAACGACAGATATTATTCCTAAATGAATGCGTATTACTCGTATTGAAACGAAATAAACGTCGCATAAGACACAGCGTAACCTAGATAAAATGAATTTTGATTCAGTAATCACTGTCATTTATCACGCTGCTTGTCTTCCGCGGCATAATTTGCGACGTGCTTCTCTATTAATAATGCAAGGCGGCTGGGGGCAAAGTGCATTAAGAACACCATTCCCAAGGCTAGAACAGCAGCAAACATAACCACGCGCCTACCTTGTGCAAAGCCAACGTAACGTGCGATACGTGTTCGTTGGCGATCCGGGCCCTCCGATCTTCCGCTCGGTCCCGGCCGCTCGCAGCCCAAACCAACGCACCCGACACAGCTGCCTCTCTCGGGCCTCCCCCCCTTCTCACCGCTCCTGGCGGCCGTTTCCGCCTACTCGACTGCCGATGAATGGGGGGCCGGTGCGGGCGAGAGGGGCGAGGGAGGGGGAGCCCAGCCGCGCACACAGGCCAGAAATGGGCCCAAAGCCAATAATACAAGGCCGCGAAGTAAAATGTATTGATTGAACCTCGAAATGAGCAGCTTCTTGCAAATACTGAGAGGAGTAGTGAGTGATTTATGAAGATTAGGATTGCGAGATTTGAAGCCTATGGATTGGTGATTTAAAAACGAATCCGTGTAAGAAAAATCGATTTAAAAAAAAATTAAATGTATTCAAAATGATGATTTTCGAAATGCAAATAAAAATTTGGTAATGCCTTCATTCTGTGTTTAGTAAATACTGAATACTTGTACAATCGACGTTCGCGTATGTCATGACAATAGGCGAGGAAAGTAAAAAATGAGAACTCGAAAACCAATTAAAAGCACGCCTCATTGCTTTATGTTTACACTTTAATTTGTTTCTGTTGATTGAAATCATCGCTTTGAAATCACAGAACAATGCGATACGCGCGCTTTTAATGTCACTTTCGCCTCACTGCGAGGAGCGACCCGCATCGGCCTCGCATCAGCTCCCAGGCGGGGCTGGGAATAATGTGCGGGCGGAGTGAACGGGGCCGGACAGCCGGGGACGGGGTGGAGTGGGGCGAAGCGGGGAGGAGTCGACCCGGGAGATGCGGGGTGGTCCGGGGCGGGGAGAGGTGAAAGGGCGCTGGCGGTGCAAGAAAGGCGGGGTAGAGCGGAGTGGAGCGGGGCGTGGCTGAGGGTGGGAGCTGGGGTAGATGGGGCGGGCGGGTGGCGGGGAAGGGAGTGGAGTGGGGCAGGAAAAGGGACGGGGCGGAGCGGGGGCGTGGCTGAAGGGGCGCGGAGCTGGGCTGAGTCGGGTGAGGTGGAAGGGGCGGGGGAGCGGGCAGGAAAGGGGGACGGACGAGGTGAGCGGAGTGGAAGGGCGGAGCGGGGCGTGGCTGGGCCGAGAAGCTGGGCTGGGAAGGTTGGGTGGGGGTGACGGGGCGGGGAGGGGAGCGGGAGCGGGCGATGACGGAGAGCGGTGGGTGGTGGGTGGTGTGCGGCGGGGCCACGAGGGGCGTTGCCGGGCGGTCGCGCCGGAGCCCGAGCGGGGCCCTCCTGCGTTCGCCCGCAGCTTATCGCGGCGCGACCGCAGCCGCCGTGCCAGACGCAGCCCAGCGCGTTGGCGCAGTGCACGGCCGGCCCCCACTGGCGGCCGCCGCCTGCGCGCCGTCTCGCTGCTCCGCTCTGCGC